AGAAATATGCAAATTGAAAGGTTAGAGATAAGGAGTTCTTGATAAATGAGCAAGTTTTGCTTAAGGTTTCGCTCATGAAGGGTGTGATGAGGATTGAAAATAGGGGTAAGTTGAGTTTGTGATTCATTGGTCCTTTTGAGATTCTTAGATGTGTAGGGGGGAGGCAGCCAATGAGTTGGACTTGCCTCCTGTTTTGTTAAGTGCTCAATGTGTATTTCATGTATATATGCTAAAAAAGTTTCATAGTAATGGTAATCATATCATTCAATGGAACTCTGTATTGTTTAATGAGTGTCTATCCTATGAGGAGGAGCTTGTGGCTATTCTAGATATAGAGTTTCGAAAGTTGAGATCCGGAGTTACTCCTTCTATTAAGGTCCAGTGGAAGAATCGTCTTATATAGGATGTCTCTTTGGAGACTGAATTAGACATTGGTAGAAGATATCCTCAGTTATTCGTGGAGTCTAATAATCTTTCTTTATTTCATTTTATTCTCATCTTTCCTTTTTGATGTTTGAGATGAACGTGTGTTTAATTGATATTTGATGTAACAATCTTCCCCATCATTATGGTTTTTTGGGTCTATACTCTATAGTGCTCTCATATTGGTCCTTGTGAATTGAGAATTGGAAAATATATATATATAAATATAAAAATGGAAATCCTCCTTCACTATAGTTAAGAGAGGCTTTGCTCGCCATATCAAAGGCAATGAAGTTGTGAGGCTTTGGTATAGTGAAGTGGTTGTTTGCTATAGTTTTAATTCATTTTCACATCCATAATTCGTCATTTTGAATAGAGAAAACCTCATGGGTGACTTTTTCAAGAATTAGATTTTTTCTCTCTTGAGGTAAGTGTTTTTTGTTCATCTTTTCCTTTTTGTAATTCGTTTACTTTTTGGAATCAAAGGGTGAGCTCTTCATGGGACTTTATGGGTTGAACTCTGGGGTTATTTTATTGCTGGGATAAAATGTATAGAGGGTATAATCATGCAAGATTTCATTTCTAATTCATTAAATTCTATATTCTAGCATGAAATTATAAACCTAGCCTTTATTTATGATATTGAAAGAAACTGGAAACCCTATAAAAATAGATTTTTGGGGTTTATGAACTTCTCAAGAGAGGTTAATGGGGCTGAAATTTAATGAATGAGATTTGGTTGATCATGAAAACCTCTGATTTGATGAAATAACTTTTCAATAGTTTGTTATACCTTTTCAATAGGTAGAATTAGATGAGTTTGAATAGCCAAGACCTTCGCTTGAGAAAGTAGATGATTAATGTGTGGTTATATTTTGAAGTCTTGAGTATTCAATGGTGTTGAGAAAAAGGATTATTTTTTTTTGTAATTTAGCTTGTTTACTTTCAATTCGTTGGTTGAGGTAGGTTATGATTTACTTGGAGTTAGACTTTCCTTAGTTGATGATATGTAATGTGAGTTGTATTGCATGTTGATTGGTCTCTGGACATAATTGGTACTTTTTATAAGTGAATTAAGTGTCTCTTGAATAAGCATTTAAACTAATGAACTGTCTATTTTACTAATGTTATGAATTATGACTTGTGCTTATACTTGATGAATTACCCTAAGAGGTAACTACAGAGGTTAGCATACTTGACATTTCACATTACAAGCTGTTTATTTTTTAGTTAGACTTGATAGATTATATTTTTGTCAAATATTTTAATAGTTTTATGATATTATATTTATAATATTTATCTTTTTGTCAAACATAAATTTCATCATGTTCATAGAAATCTTGTAGTTTTGTATATATGATTAATTAATTAAAATATACTAATTTGAAAAATATATCAATTTTTTATGTAATATTAGTTAAGAATATATGTTTATTAATTAATATATTTTTCAAAGATAAATTATATCTTAAATATTTAATTTAATATCATTTATAAAGGCCTTATTCGTCCAATATAAATTTTTAATTTTAGATAATTAACTTTTATTTTTATAATTTAATATAACTTATTAATTACATAGTAACAAACAAATAGGTCATCATAATTCTCTAGTAATTACACCAATTTCAATTAACAGGTGACTTTTCAAACAAACCCTTATTGTTTTTTTATGTGAATAAATTGTAGTAATCTATTTGCTAAACAGACTAACACACCATGGAAGCTGACTACAGAATAGCAAAATTAATATGTAGTAAAGTAGACTCACAAACCATGTTCCATGAAGCATTTTTCCTACTTGGTGCCCGCTATAAATTTTTGAAGTAATTTAAATGCAAATTAAAAGAGAAGAAAAAAGGGGTCATTTGGGTAAAAGTGGTCCATGACAGGTCCGGTTCTTGCTGCTTGGTCTTCTATACAACAGACACACTGGAAAAGCAACTTGTGACTTGTTTATTAATGCTCTTCCATTCAAAGGACCAAAAATAATGAAACAAAAGTAAACATATAAAAGAAGAAAAGGAGTTTTAACTTCTTTAAACTAGCAGGAGTACATTCAGAGGCCACTACAAGAAAAGTGTGAATTACATGGGGATTTTCCTGGGGATTAGTATGAAAATCCGTAGGAAACTTATTTTCCTGCAAATTTTCATACTAATCCCCAAGAAAATCCTCATGTAATTCACACTTTTCTTGTAGTCGGCGAACCCAGGTTTTGAATACTTCGGGTGCACCAATATAAGCTCTAAGCTAAACTTAGAATTAAAAGAATGAAAAATGAAATAGGTGCTAAGTGGGTCCAAACCCTGGTCGCGTAGGTGATTTCACTAGCTCGTACCAACTGCACAAGGGCACTTCTATGTTATTTATGGGTGCATTGTTAATTATATCCTACTTTCTGCTAGTTTTTTAAGATAGATACACACATATACACATGATTTTTTTAGAAGTTAACGGGTGCACGTGCACCGTCACTAAACCATGTGGTTCCGCCTTTGGGTACATCGACCAACTCACCTAAAAGATAATTATAGGTAGGTCATAATAAATAAGTTTGGTCATCGGAAAGAAATGCACAAATTATTCCCAATTACAATAAGTTAAAAATTCATAAGTATGACCTTCAGCTTGGCTTCAGTTGTTATTTATGTCCTTCAACTTTGGTTGTGCACGAGTAGACACTTAAATTTATATAAAATTGAATTAATAGATACATTCGTCCTATGTGGCGTCCTATATGAAAATTTTATGTCTTACATGTATTATGTCACATAGAACGCTTATATCTACTTGTTCAATTTTTTACAAGTTTGAATGTCAACTTGTACACACTCAAAATCGAAGGACATAAATACCACCTAAACAAAATTAAATGACATATTTATGTACTATGCGTATATTATAAGTTTGATTCCAAATCCAAAAAGAAGAAAGAAAACAAAGGGCAAGTCTGGCGGGGTTTTGGGGAATCAAAGAGTGAGCAACTCGAAGAGTTAAACAAGGCTGAATCTTCGCCGTTATTAATGTAATAATTATAATATCCAAACAGCTAATGCTTGTGATCAGATTTCAGCTAAAATCAAGCCTTTTTGCTCCTTTGTTTTTTCTAATAGACTATTTCTCTATAAACAAAACACACATCCAAACAAGTGTAAAATGACAGGACATGTTGGAAACCCCTTCACCTTAATTATTATCCACTATTACTAAAATATATTTTCATTTTTACTCGTGTATTTTTTTCATGTTTTACCCTTAACATTAATTACTTATTCTCCAAATTATTTTCCAATATCTAATACTCACTCTGTTAGAATATACTTGGCACACCTATTAAGAAATAATGATTTTGATATATTGAGTTTACTAATTTACATATATTAATTGATAGGGTCACAAATATATTTACTCATTAACTCAATGTTAATAAATTAGGATATATTAGGAAAAAGAAAATTATCCTTTCTTGATTTTGTCAAAAAATGACAAGTAATTAACAATAGAAATCAAATTAGGAATTATTTGACAAGTAAATCCAAACGGAAGAAGTACTAAAATATCAGTTAATAGGGATAGTATAATAAAATAATTATGTCAATCATTATTTTTTTTAAAGGCATGTTAAATTCAAATATGATAAGTAAAAATGAACGGAACGAGTAATAAAAACTTTTGGCCAAAAAAGAAAGAGAAAACTTATAACTTATGGAGTAAAGGTGTTAGCTTTTTCTTTCCATCATTGAAATTTTGAAACAATCAATTCATGTTGATTAGTTTGAATGAGTTAATTACTCGAAGAAAAGGGTCATGCATCTCTTTTACTTTTCCCCTATTTCAAATTCTAATTTCTAAACTGTAGCCCAAACCCCTCTCATCTAACCTATCAAAAATTAGTGATGAATTCTCAACATATATAGTTCAAATAAGAAAGATTTAAGAAAAAATTACTAAATATTAGGAATTTTTTTGTTTTACAATTAAGTGTTAAATATTAAAATAATAATTATTCAACAAAAATAATAAATGACAATTTTACCTTATAAAGTATTTTAATAAAGGACAAAAAGAATTCGACGGTCTTCATTGTTTTAAATATAGGATAGTTATTTTAATGCATTTTCTTTATTTTTATCAACAGTCTAAATCTCAAAAGTATCAAAAGCTTGGCCCGCAGGAATAGAAACAAAAGCGAAGGAACTTACGGACTTAAACCCCACAAAAGGCAAAGAGATAAACCCAAATGTCACTATCCTTAAAATATGTGGATATAATGAAAACGGTAATACGTTCATACAGATAATTTTTTTTTTTTTTTAAACTCCAGGATAATTGATAATAGCTACGGTCTCTTTCATTTGGATGAGCATTTTTGTGTGTATCAAATGTAATAGACTACAAATCATACATACAATGTAAATTGCATTAGGCAAGTCCTTTCCAACAGACTCGACACCGATGAAATTTTAATGAACCAAAATTCAATGTAAATTACCTTCTTTTCGTTATATGGCATGAATAAAATATTAGAGATTTATATGGGTTTTTTTCTTCATAAAATTGATAAATTTTTAATCATCTTTATAATTATTTCAACGATATAAGGAAACAAGGAAACCTCTCAAATAGAAATTGATTGAAATTGTTGATATAGTAGAAGGATTGTAATAAATTTCAGATCTCAAAGGTATTAACATATGTCAATGAGAAGAATTGCACAATTCTCCATACCCCCATCTAGCCAAGAGATTTTCCTTCTCTTTACTCCATATTCTATGGTTATATAATCCCACAAGACCTACCTCTCTAAATTTTAAAATAAAAAAAATAAAAAGAAGTCCATGCACCTTCCAAAATATGAGAAAATTATCAAAACATACAACACCAACCACTAAAATAATATTGGATCATACACTTCTAGCCAACATTTCTTGAAATCTCCTATAAGATTCAACTTTCTCCAACCTAAACCTTTCATGAGAATTTGCAATGAACATATCAGCAAGCTTATCAATATCATTATTACTATTGTCCTTGTCTTCAAGCCATTGAAGATAGCCAGAGAGTTCTGACTCATCACAAGCAGTAGATATAATAGAATTCCATGTAGAATCATAATAAACATCAAATGCAGTTGGAACAGGCACTGGCATCACATGAGAAGAACACCAATTATAATGCAATCTAAATGAACCAAGAAACAACTTCACATTATTCTTCTTCTTGTTCTGATGAACTAACTGAACATTCTTCATAATTTGAATTAATAATGATTTCGCTTTCGCTATAGCTCGGTATACATGGGAGAATATGAAGGATTGTACTAGGCTCTTCAGCTTCATAGAATTTAAGCTAGTAGATGATGATTTCAGGGAAGTTTTTGGATGAGAGGGGCAAACCATTTTTTTGTATTTTCTTTTCTTTGGATGTGTAATGTGCCTTGTTCTAATGGGATATATGAAGGGTCTTTCAGTACCAATTTATCACTAGTAAGTAGGTAATTTATAGAAAGTGTCAACCACTTTGCAGATTTTTCTAACACTTTTTTATTTTCTTTCTTTTTTTAATTTCTTCCTTTCATTTGTTTTTTGGGGTTTTATACTAGCTTTAGACAACTACTGTACCTCCTTGTTTGGTGGAATAAAGCAAATCACAATATGGAATTTACTTCTATTTGATTTTGATTTGTATTGTGAAGAAAGTATACAAATATGTACCTCTATACTAGCTATTTGCAAAGGTTCCAACTTCAACCATAGTGTCTTGATGCAATGACCAAGAACTTAATGGCACAAGCAAATATCATTTCAACTTAAAAATAAATACCACATTTTTCCAAATTCCACAAGTGATTACTTTTTTTACAAATTACATTGCATGTTGTTTTTATTCTGTCACGATCCAAAAATGAATGTGATGGCACTTGTTTAAACTCACCAAGACAAGTCAATCTAAACCCAAAAGTATGAAAGAAATGTGGAAATAAATCAACAATAGCGTAAGTGCGAAAAGCTTAGTTAACTTATAAACACCCCCAAAATATGGTTGTCACGTGTACAAGCCACTAGGATGACATAGACAAGAATCAACCTCTTCCCGTTGAGCTTTTGATGTATCGCAGAATTTGAAAAGAAGCTTCTAAGTGAGATGATCCCGGCTTGTCCATATAAAAACCGGTTGATCACTCCCTCCTATTTGTGTAAGTGTAAGCAATCTTTGGGCGATAATTAGTTAAGTAAAAAAGAGTCCCAACAAGTCTCCTTGCAAGTAGATGGGTTATCCAATAGCTCTCTTGCATTTGAGGCTTAGTACAAAATTTGAAAGATAAATACAAGTCTCAATGTCTTTGTTTCTCGAATAGAACAAAAGACAAAATAAGGAACAAGAGGTCCCGCCGGGATGACAAGCAATTACCACTCAATATATCCTCTGAAAGCCTCAGAGAAAGATGAAGGAGATAATCACACGGGTCCAGGCTCGAAACCTACACAAGTGTAAAACAAAGGAGTGAGTACCAAACAACATGATACTCAACAAGCAACCCACTAAATAAGGAAAAACTAATTTAGAATACAAGTACTCCTTTCATCCCAACCGAACCACCTCAACTACAACCTGCATAGAAATCAGCCCAACCTAACAGTTCATTTTACACAGCCCACAAGGCTCAACAATCAACATTCATAGTTCAACAATCAAGAAGTATCAAGTTAATCAATCACGAGTACCAAGTATGTCAATCACAAACAATAGGTATCTCAATCACGAGTATCAAGTTCAAATCACAAAGTCAAACGCTTGCCGAAACCACTTCTCATCGGCACAATACCACTTGCCCGAACCATTTTCCATCGATACAATATCATTCGCCGGAACCATTTTCCATCAGCACAACATCACTCGTCGTAACCATCTCCCATCGGCTTGGTATAATGTTACTTGTCGGAACCATTTCACATCGGCATAATCACCACATGTCTAATCACGGTGTACAGAAATTAATGCAAATAAAAAATTTCACATCATAAGGAAGAGATAATAAACTCAAGCAATTCAAGTCCACAATAATGTCAGCAAAGCATTTCATCAATCAACAAATTAGGATCAACACTCAAGGCAATTCATGAAGCACAATTATCAACACATTGCCTTTTTTATTCATTAAGATCAATCAAGTAGAGTAATTGATTCATCACCTCATTCTCATTACTCCCCAACACACACAATGAAGAAAAATACAAAATTCTACAAGTTTTACAAAGCTTGGAAGTTCACTTGCCTCAATCCAATCAAAAGTCACTACAAGACTTGGGCCTTTCCCTTCCAAAAAATGTCCAAAGCCACACAATTTAATCAAACAATTAATCATAATAAGATTCCAGAAATAAAAATACTCATATCATATACTTTGAAAAATGGGTCAAATCGACTCCAAAAATCCAATTCCAATAGGGTTTGAATCCAAAAATCTTAACTTGAAAACATCACCCAAGGCATTCGAAACTCATTGGTGAAAACAATTTTGAAAAAGAAATTAAAATCAGTTCATCACTACCATTTTACTTTAGAACTCACGTTCTTGAAAACCTTTCACTTGGTCAATCAAAATCCTATTTTTTAATGTTAAAATTCACAAATGATCAAAGGGAATTGAAGTTTTAAGGTTACAAACACTTACCAAATGATTTAGCACTAGAAATCTCTTTAAAATCGCCTCCAATAAATTTTCCAAAACTCAAAATGGAAGATAATGGGTAAAACCCTAAAATTTTGTACATAAACCCTCTTAGGTCTCACAAAAGCAACCTCAGGTTCAATTTCTCAAACTCGTAATCGCGACCTTTGGTTCACAAAAGTGAACTCCAGAAAAATGTGGTTGCGAAAGCGATAGGTCCTTCGCGAACGCGATGGTCAATGGAGTCTGACCCCTCGCAAATGCGACTAAGACCTCACTAACACGACCCTCGCTAAAGTGATCCATCCTTCATGATCGTGAGGTACACCAGATATCATAAAATCAGTCAACTCTCAAATCTCCAAATGGATCCTTGGAAATCGTTCAAAACCTCATACATACAAACCACATATCACTACTAAAAAAATTGTTTAGTGATGTTTGCGTAATCAAAGACACAACTTCCGATGCAAGTGTCTATGATCGTGCAATAGTATAATAACCCAACCAAGGGTTGGGGTCGAGTCCCAAGGGAGTGGGCGTGAAAATTAGTGGTTTAAGCGCAAATGTGCTAAAGCTAATCGTAGCTAAAGATTTTAATGGTTAAAAACATTGTAAGTTAAAGGGAACACAAGAGTATCACTTAACAATGGGGTTTTTGTCACTAGTAAGTAACAACAATAAAATTAACAAAGATTTCTAAGTAATGAGAAGGGATTCTTGGAATGTGTCCGGAATACGGGTTAATCTAAATTATTGGGTACATGCTTTCGATAGAAAATTTATAGAGTAATAGTGACTAGGCTAAGCTATACGTGGGAATAAATTCTCTCTCGAACAACTTACCCTGTTTCAAATAGGTTCCTCTCGGACACTCACTTGCCGCATAAAGACCAGTCTACGCCCTACCTCACTCACTCTCTTGAGCTGAGTGTTAGGATATGGGACTAGGGTTCACTCTCTCGAGCTGAACCTCATGTCGGCCCACTCCTTAGGACATCAATCTAGTAGTCTTGGTTTCGCGACCTCTCTCTCTCGAGCAAGCCGAAAACATATAAATAAATTTGTATTTGCAACTACAAATTTGGTAGATTCAACCATAACTACTAGACGAAATCACCATTAAACTATATCTAATCTATCAGCAAGCAAGACCCAACAACAATCTTAACCTATATTCGTTAAATCACACCCCAAAAATTGGGGGGTTTTAGCCACACATAAAGAGATAGAAATTTATACCTAAATGCGCTTGGATTCAAATGGGTATGAAGATTTAAGTCTTGTTACAGGCCAAGAATGAATAATCCAAGAGACCCAAGTCTAAATCCTTAGAGATGAAACCCTCTTCTTCTTCAAGTTTTCAAAAGCCTCTCAAACTCAGAGCAAAAATAAAAAGTACTAAAAATTATATTAATTATTTCACACTAAAAATCTCTTACTAAAAATCTGATACTAAGCTCAAACTCTCTACGAGTATTTATAGTTTTAAAGAAATCTGTGTTGCAGCGGACCATTCGACAGATTAGTTGGAATCGCCGATCAACTCGACGATTCGCCCCTTGATGTAGTTCATCGCCGTCTTGCACCATCCTTCAGCATCGTCATGCTCTGATTCATTGGGCGACATAGTACTGCCTCGCGAAACATCTCGGTGATGCGCCGACTGCTCTCATTTTCCGTCGACTTGATCCTTTCCTTCAAGGCTCAGCACACTGGAACAAAAGGTGAACTGAGACCCTTCGGCGGCTCGCCAAGTGGACTCGGCAATCCCCAGGCCTTCATTTTCTTCATTCTTTTCAGTCCTTTTCGTTCCTTTTTGCGAAGTAGTGTCCATGCTCTCCTTCAATCTTCAAATACTTGAAACTTAAGGGTTTTCATCAGATATTGAGATAAAATAAGCATTTGAGGACACAATTTCTATTAAAATATAACCCTAAATGAGTCTAATTTGTGGACTCATCATTTAGCGACAAATAATATTCTGTCACTACATAACGACGGATTTGCGGCGAAATAACCATTTTGTTGCAAAATTAACAAATGATTTTTTGATTTATAATATATCGACGAATTTGCAACGGAATATTTATTTTATCGCTAAATATTAGCGCGAAAGTTTGGCGCCTAATTTTCCCTACAGAGTTAGTAACAAAGTAGGGGTGACAAATTTAATTAATATTGGGCGACGAAATTAGTGACGGAAAAAAGGTTGCTAAACTTTTAAATATATTTTTATAAAATTTATATTATATAGGGATGAAAATATCCATCAATATATTTTTTTCTAAATATATATATTTAATTGAAAGCGACGGATGTTAGAATCCGTCACTAATTCTGTTGCAAATATTTTTAAAATGATATATTCTAGGGCACAAAATTTTCAACATGTCAAGTCCCTCTCCATAAACTCACACTCTCAAGCTCCAAAGAAGCTTCCAAATCTTTCCAAGTCTCCGTTGCAAACATTTTGAAGTCTCCATCTCGAAAGGTAAGTGCTCAAACTCTCATCTCCATTTCGATTTCATTTAGCTCAAACCCAAACTAAATAGGGTTTCGGCAACATTCCTACATTTTGAAAATAGGAGTACCTTTCAACTCTTCTTTCTGCAAAATAGGAACCCCAACTAGGAATTTTGGTCAGATTTCTGCATTTGGATATCAGATTCATTGGATTTGGGTATCACTCATTTCACTCGACACACCCATTGTTTACCAGTTTCAACTCGTCTTCTGAAAATAGAGATTTTAGTGGTTTGGGTGTTATGAAAATATGATATTTTAACTCTGAACTCTTTTCATTTCATTTAGCTTGAAGTAAGATTGGTATTTTCTCAAAATAGGGGTTTTAAAAATTTGAATGTTCTAAAAATAGGGGTTCTTTTAGAAGTAAAGTTTTCTGAAAATAGGGTTCTTTTAGAAGTAAAGTTTTCTGA